GGTTTTTTCGTGGGTCTGCACCAATGACTTGTAGGACTGCTGTGCTCTGGTCAGACTCTACTGAGATTTGTTGGCTCCGAACTGCACTTGTGCTTTCCCCTTCACCAGCATGGCACTGATCTGCATGGTCACGGACTCTATGGAGTAGGCACTGCTGCAGCTCTTCTTGGTGAGAAGCTCCATGCAGATGGCACCTCCGCCGAGAACATACCCTCCGGAGAGGACTGAAGACAACCCTGACGCACGGTAGGTCAAAGGGAAAGTTATCTTTAAAGAGAAGTTAAGTAGGATGAAGTCTGCGCCTTCCTTCTCTCTGAGGATCTGGAGGTCGTTGTGCAAAGCGCAGTCCTGGTCAACTTTGAAGAGTTTGACTTTCCAATACGGAGCCGGGGCCCTGCCTGAGGTGGGAGCTGAAGCTGGTCCAGTCCATCTTCCACGGCGGCCACGAGCGCTTCGGCATTGCCAGCGCCTGCCTGGATGAGCTCAGCTGCGAGTTCCTGCAGGCTGGGGCCTGAGGGGCCGGGCCCAGACCGCATCTGCCCGCTCGGGATCCGTGCCTAGAGATCCCATCCGCATCCATTGCAACATCACGGAGTCGTACCCTGCTGTGACCCTCATCTTCTCGGTGGAGTCTGATGACCCTAACAGGGCTGCTCTCTTGGAGAGGCAGGTGGACATAAAGAAAGGGAGTACTCTGCTTTTGCAGCATCTGAAGAGGATCATCTCTGACCTGTGTAAACGCTACAACCTCCCTCAGCATCCGGATGTGGACATGCTGGATCAGCCCTGGACAACAGAGCAGTGCACAAAGGAGGAGGTGTCTTCAGAAGACAAAGATGAGATGCCTGAGGACACAGAGGACCTAGACCACTATGAATGAAAGAGGAAGAATCAGCTGAGGGTAAGAACTCGGAAGATGATGGCATCGAAAAAGAAAACTTGGCCATCCTTGAGAAAATTAAAAAGAACCAAAAAAAAAAAAAAAAGAAAAAAAGAGAACCAGAGGCAAGATTACTTAAATGGTGCAGCGTCTGGCTCAGTGCAGGCCACTGACTGGCTGATGA